GGCATCAGACAAAGCCACCAATCGGTGTGAGCATAAAAAAAATAAAAAGTGACATGTCACCAGGGGATGAAGGAGGTGCTAACAGAAGAGTCACCAGACACACAATGAGCAAGATACAAAGCAGTAGAGATAGTGAGAGCAGTAGCCACAAATGAGGCTGCTGCCAGACATTGTCTATTGTCACTGGCATCAATTTTCAACCTCTCTCCTTATATTGCAGGGCAGGGAAACATCAAATTACATTTTCCAGTCTCCTGGAAAGATCCAGTTTTTTTGGCTTATTTTAGGTTTATTCAGTGAGATCCACTTTACAGTATAAACCTTGAAAAGTGGAAGGCTTACCAGGTGTGCTAGTGGGTAAGGGGGCACCAGCAGAGGTGAGTGATGGCAGCAGATGGACTCCGTGTTCCAATGTCTTGGAACCAGTTTGGAGGGTGTGGCGATGATACCAGTGGCAGACGCAGTTTCTTGACTTCTGGGTTGATGGCAGGGGTGTGACCTCAAAGATAAATGTTACATGGCAGTCTTTGGCTGCCATTCCTCCAGTCTTTCCATGATTTGTAAGCACCTAATGCTCTGCATTAAATCCTTTCTCTTTACAACCCATTTCTTTTCTTCTGTGTACCCAGCTAGACTAAATGTTTCCCAGGTTCTTTTGCAGCTGGGTGTGGACCTATATTAGCGGATAGTGAGTGGGTGTGTCGGACACCCCCTTCAGACCCGTACTAAACAATCTCCACCTAAGACCCTCCATGCTCTTCTCCCTTCTATTTGTCTGATGCAGGCAAGCACAATGACCTTGGGAGTTATGGGTCATAATGGTGGGACCACAAGATGAAATGAAATGAGCCTGGGTACCTGAGTTGCCATTTGGAAGAGAGTCATCTTGGAAGAGCAGCTCTCTCCCATCAGAGTGACCCCAGACCAAACCACAGCTGGCATGTGATGGGGAAGAAAGGTATTGGGGATGAGGCAGATATTATAGAAGCAGCAACCAAGGGCAAAATGGTGAAAGCAGTGGTCACTGAAGTGAAGGGGAAAACCTGCTATTTACAAAGTCACTGGGATAGTGATGTTTCTCTTATGTGGCAGCTAGCAACAGCACCCCAATTCAAAGCAGGCATTTCTGTTCCTACATTGAATTTTGATGGATGACAGCCACAGGTGAAAGAGTAGGTCACTGGTAATACAGACATAAGCACAATATAGGCCACAACCAAAAGGAGCACATGAGCTGGTAGAAACTAACTAAAAGAGAGGGGGTTGGAGAACCTTGGGGTTCGGCATACAATTCCTGTGTGGCGGCTAAAGGACCAAACTCCTTTGATGTCATATAAACCCTGGCCCCTGTTCATCATTCCATCCTCATCCTTCCCATACACAAAACTCCAGAAAAACCGCTTAGAAGTCCCCAAACACACCAAAGGTTTTTGTTTGTTAGTTTTCAATATTCCAATGTCTGGTCTAGGAAACCAGGCTCACAGGTTCCAGGATGTCCAGGGGTGGCATCCAAAGAGAAGCTTCCCTTCTGGACAGGCTGGGAGCCATCTTTCTCCTCCACGGACCTTGATTCCAAGGGCTGTTCCCTTTGAATGGATTCCAGGAGCAGATGCAGATCTCAGGGACAAGTGGGCACATCCTGAGGTACAGATGTGAGGCCTGGCAACTGAACTGACAGCTCAAATAGCATCGCTCATCGATGAGCCAGGCCAGCTGGTCTGTTCCACTGGCTGGGAGCATGCCTGAGAAATGTGTCTGCCTTTTATATTTCTATGTGTCACAATTCACCCTATTGTTGTTCCAGAACATTCTGGGTGCAGGAGGCTAATCATCCTTAATGGAGCGACATCTGTTTGAGTTGACTGGGGGCTCACACCCAGAACCTCCCTCCATCATCCTGAAGGCGGCCACACAGTCACCCTCTCTCCAAGCATTGTCATTTCCCTTTCAGTAGCTCACAAATCAAGAAGAGAAGGAAAGCACAGTCCTATGGCAGGCAGTGCAAACTAGCTTTAAAAGATAAATATATGTTACTAAAAGTAGAGTACAGAAAATATGCCAATGCCTGTATAGAGAAGATTGATGTTCCATTGACCACAGCAAAGCACATAGGAGAGCACGTGCACGTGTGTAGTTCCCGGATGAGGCTTAATGAGAGTTGGCCTCTGTTTAGGTTTTCAGTGGCTCAAAGGAAAGGTAAAGCACCTCCGTTTCTGCTGCTCATGTTGCTCTGTCCCTTGGAGTCACAACATGAAAAACATAAGCTCTGAGGATCAATTGTGGAGTTGAAGAGAGAGAAGGCATTCCAGCCTTTGGAACGCTTTCATACCAGAGGGGCACCTGCTTAAAGACTCAGTAATTGCAACAAGTCTTAAAGGGGAGGGGGGTGGAAATGTAAACTCTGATCACAGTTAGCTTTGTATCTTGCCAGCCTAATTTAAACCTAAAGTTCAAATGAGAAACAGGGATAATAACTCCTATTCAGAACAGAGCATGTGCCAAAGACTGTGCTGAACACTTTATACTTAATTAGGGGCCTAGTGCAAGAATTCAGGCACACTGAAAGGAACTGTGGGCTGTGAGGCTGTGGTGGGCACAGAGGCGGGTCTTGGTCCATCCTCCATGCCCCCACCTGGCCCCTGCCACCGAGGCTCCTGGTCCCTGTCTGCTAGCAGCCCCACTCCTGCCGCCACTGCTCCCACACACTGATGGCACAGAGTGATTGGGGTCAGGGTCAGTGCCACGAGCGATGTAAGTGGGGCTAGCACCATCAGTGAGTGCAAGCTGTAGCTGTTGCCTGGATCGCCCCTCAGAAGCAGGGGGAGGTGAAGGAGCCCTCAAGGGCGATTAGGGTTGGCAGTGGCCGCTCGCACCTGCTGACAGCACCGAGCAGGGGGTGCAAGTGGGGCCAACGCTAACAGGAGGTGTGAGCACTGGGTGGGACTAGGTCATGTGGGAGCAAAGAATTTTCAGTAACCACCAGAGGCTCGCCCCGATGACAGTGACTGGCGCCCCTTCTTGGTCTGGCGCCCCCACTCACCGGCTTCACCATCCTGCCACGGCCAACACCCACCATGTTTGGAACTCTGCTGCCTGCTGCTGTCATCCACCATGTTCCATGCACACCCCCTGGTCGTCAGTGCACAATATAGTGACTGTTCCACCATCAAGTTTATTTGCATATTAGGGTTTTATATATAAAGATACTATTTAATTTACCCAATAGGACTCTGAGGTAGGTGGTTTTATCCCATTACACAGAAAACAGAGTACCAGAAAAATTAAAGAACCTGCCCAACACCATGTTGCTTGTAAACAGTTGAACCAAGAGTCAAATCCAGTATGGCTTGACTCCAAATCCTAAACTCTTACCTCTGCACATCATTAATTAGTATCAGAACTCACCTAGGCAGATGCTTATGGCACTGGGCTAGAGATTGGAGAAGAAACATTGAACCAGTGGCAGGGGGACTTTCAAGGTTTGGAAAGTCTTGCCAGGTAGGCTTGGCTGATGCCCAGAGCTAGACAACTCTTTCCCCTGGTAATTCCAAGGGAACACTTATAGAGGCAAGCAGGACACCAAAGCTCTTCAAAATTCCCAATGGTTCCCCAAATTATAAAAATGTAGGAAACCCTCACAGCCATTGGTAATGATGCTCAGTGAGTAATTTGAGCCCACAGTTCCCTTTTTCAAGAGGAGATCTGAAGAAGTCATGTTCAAAGGCTACATATTATATGATTCCACAGAGATAGAAAATAGATCAGCGGTTGCTAGGGGCTAGGACATGAGTTAGGAGTTACCACAAAAAGGCACAAGAAACATTTTGGATGGGAGGGGGGGCAATAATGAAAATGTTTTATAGACTAATTATGGTAGCCTTGAGACAATTGTACACATTTGTCAAACTCATTTGATCACTCACTTAAAATTGGCAGATTTTTACCACTTCTCAATAAAGCTGATTTAACTATGTATACATGGTTGTTGTTTTTTATTCCCAAAAGAAAGCTAGCTGATGAATCTGAGCTAAATTTGTATTGTATAACTTTTTGTAGGAAACTATGGAACCTGAATCTATTCAGTTGTTCAACCTTGCCAGCAGGGAGGTTTTCTGCAGGTGGCCACTGCAGCTGATGCACTGTGTCCAATGGGAAGGTCCTGAAGGGAATTTTCAGGCAAATGCTTCTGTGGCCCTTTAAATAAGAGGCTGATTGCTAGTTACCTTGGCTTCCTGCCTCCTTTCCAGAATCTTCAGAGGTCATACTGTGTATTCAGTAGAAACATTCATCTGGAAAATTGCCTAGGGCCAGATTAAATATAACATTCCTGTTTTTAACTTGTATCTCACATGACATACCTGTACTAAATATCATTTTTAACTTGTATCTCACATGACATACTTGTACTAAATACTAAATATCACAGCTACCACCTGCCTCAAAAGGTTCAGCATAGATTAAAAATTAGCGTTTCAGTAAAACTAACTACACCAGCCTTGTTGGTCTGTCCTTCCAGCTCTAGGTCACCTGTCCCCTCCACCTTCTCTTTGATAAAGGTACTCTCTCCCTAGTGTGGCCAGTAAGTCCCTTTGCTTGCTGTGCAAGACCTCCTGTTTGGGAAAGATCTGGAGGTTCCTGACCCATGTTAATACTCATTTGGAAAAGGAACATAAGCCACACAAATATAGTCTAACATTGGAAATAATCAGATCAGTCATGCAAATTAATAAGAACATAAGGTCATATCCCAACAGAAAAGAGTGCAGTCTCAGACAACAAAAGCTGCCAGAAAGAATGGATTTTAAAGGGAAATGAAAAGACCAGCCTGACTATGCACTCCTTTAAAAGCTATTAATGTGATTTGCCATCATGTATAGGATCTCCCGGGCTTTGTTGTTTGGGAGGTAGCCATTCTCTGTACCTCACAGCAAAGTATGAGCTTTTCCTATTGAGTTTTCTTCTAATTAAATTAGAAGAGTAAATAAAACAAAAGACAACAATTTTTTTTCAAAGCACATGCTAATCATTTATTTAAAAAAGAAGAGTACAGCATTGAAGGAGCCAGTTCTATAGTGCAGAACTCATGAACATTAGGGGCAAATATACCAAGACCAGATGATAAAGCCTCCAAAAGCGCAGAAGCACATATACCCACAAAGATTTCAAACTACATTGATTGAAGATGTACTTGAAGCTGGTTTTCTATATTTCTTCTCCCCCCCCAAAAAAAAAAATTACTTTCTTACAAGTTTCAGTCTTAAACAAAGACAAAAATTGCATGAAACAATTGATATGACTTCATACACAAATCACATATGCTCCATGGGCTTTGTTATATTACCAGACATGCTGCCATTTTATCTCTGCCACCTGGTTTTCTTACAGCCTTAGAGTCATGTAAGTAAACATTCATGATGAGGGGGAAAAGGGTAATTTTATCTCATATCTGATATATAAAAAAAAACTAATTAATTTTTATTTTAAAAATAAGATGTAGAAAGATGGGGTGGGGAACAATAATTGGTTGGCAAATATTTTTCCAGTCTTTGGGTTCTACTTCATATAAGTAGACAATGGGGGGAAATAACCCAGAGCCTTTCTGCAGATCCACACGGGGTTGGTTTTCAGTGTATGCTTCAATATGCAAAAAGGCTTTTCTCCAGAAAACTCAGAGGGTTTTGTGGATAAAATATAAGCACGCTAAATTTACTTATCCTCTACATACAAAACACTCTTTCAGGTTTAAGCAGGAAAACAAAGTTAGAGATTTGGTTCTGCAAGGAGCTTCAGGTATTATTCTGCATAGTTAGGTTTTTGTCAGGTATGGAAGAATTATTTGGGCTACATAGAGGAGACTGGTCACTGAGTCTCTCTGCTATTCCAAGAACCCCCCAAAACCATGCAGAGTCCTCTTTAAGTTCTATCATTTCCAGATGTCACCTCACTGAAGGCTTTATTGGGGGTCCATACTGTCCCTAGACCCCTGACAACCCACCCTGGAAGAACCTTATTTCAGGAGGGAAATGCATCCTATGAGGCAGACAAATCAGGGCAAATATTTTAAGTCTCTAGTGTGGTAGAACTATGAGAATACTACTACTAAGAAAATATACTTTTGATCCCCTTGCAGGTATCTAAACAAGTAGAAAATAGTATTTTTTCAACTAATATTTTACTTCTCTCTTGCCCTAATACCTAAATAGTTAATACCTGGTCAAAGATAAGATCATAATTCAGAAGGTAACCATCATTATAGACAAAAAGTTTCCGTTCGAAAGGGTGATAATTAATGCTCTGCACTTTTTCCTGCATCTTGGGCATGGCAATGTTCAGGTTGCCCTCCCTGCCTGTGTTTGTGTCAAAGTAGTAGAAAATCTCCTCTGTTCTTGTGTTCAGAGTACGGGTGGCATACAGAACCCCACAAACCATGAAGGCGTTAGAAACAGATGGCTTATACTGCTTGGTCTGCCAAGTTTCTAGCACTGTAAGTGTGGTGTCATTGAGCTTACTAATCACGATGTTACCAGTGCTGGCTTCCGTTGAATAGATCACCCACAACCCATTCTCATCTACAGCCAGATCAATATCTTGCCAACCAACGTTAGCATATGAAAAGCGGTTATTAAAAGCAGCATTAGGGAGAGCTTGAGTCACAGCAACCGTGTTGGTGGTCAGGTTAACTTTGGCAATATTGCGGGTGTTGTACCAGTTGATATACATGTTGTTTTTGTAAACTGCTGTCCCACTACCTTGACCATACAGAATCCGGTACTCTCGGGGGTTTGTATACAATAGCAGATCATCCAGTGTGTTGTGGAGTCTGTAATATTCTAAGATTCTCCCATCTGTATTCAAAGGTGCCACCCAATACAGCCCTTTGTCTGGATTCTCAGGAGAATAATCCCGACCCCAGGCACCATACTTGTAAGCAAACCCTCTCCAGTTGAGCTGAACTATAACAGGTTTGCTGATGTTCACCACACCACCGTGATCACACGTCCCTAAACAAACAAGAAAACAAAAGGGCATTCTTAGAGAAAATGAATGACAAGATACAAACAGTTCATTATCCTAAGAACTAAAGGAAAGCATAAATAGTTGTCTTGTTGGAATTCAATGAGAACAGTGGTTCTAATGGAGAAGAGCCAAATCGTTCTCTTGGTTTCAGGCTCAGTGCAAACCTGCTATCAGCTCCACAGAGAACTTACCTTTGTTTCCATGGATTGGCTCTCAATCTGGAAAATAGAAATAATGAAACTGCCCAAGATTAGAGGGGCGGCCCAAAGACAGAAACTAGGGATTTGGGGAATTTAATATATTTTCTTCTATCAGAGAGTATTTTGTAAATAATATCTTATTTCCTTTTTCTTACAGAGAAATCAAGAAAGCAGGATCATCCCAGAATCTTACCCTGTTCTTATAAAGTCAGAAGGTGCTAGGGTCAGGAAGAATATGATTAAGGAGAAGATTGTCCCAGGCAAGTGTCCTTTCCCTTCCCCTTTCTCCCTTTACCTGGGACTCCAAATGCATATCCATACCCAGTACCAAGACTGCCCCAAGCTAATCTTAATGGAAGAAGTTTTAAATGTGATATTTTAAAGATACAGAAAGATGGTTCCATAACGGTAGGATTTCAGCCTTTAGAAGCCATGGGTGTTATTGTAGGGAACATTGCCTGCTCTGTGCCCAAAGCATAGCCCATCACATAGAGCACTTGGTGATTATCTTGCTGCAGAGTTATCACCTGTGTTCTACTACACCATCGGTCGCCAACAGTGGTCTGCAGACCACTGGGGGTCTGTAAGGTCCGAAAGGTTGGTAACCGTTGTACTACACCATGGAATGACAAGCAAGTGCCTCATCATTCCCATTCTATTCTGTCGTTGTCAAAAAGTGTACAATCAAGTGGGACCAAACTCTCTCTGGTCCACTGAATTGCTATCCCCTGTAACACTTGGGTGAATGACTCGAGTCAGGCTGGATAAATGGCCCTTTACCTTGTATTTTCTTTAAAATGCCTGTGAGCCCAAACTGTTTTTGAGCTATAAAATCTATATGCAACCCTATGACTTAACCAGAATGACCTGTCTACGGGTCCTATGATGCTCAATGCAGGAGCTGCCCCCTGGTGGTCAGTGTGCTCCCTCAGAGGGAGTGCTGCTCATCTGAGCTAGCGGAGTGGTGTGACTGCTTTGGCACTGCCACATCCCTCAGGGGGATGTCAGACTGCCAGGTTCCGGCCCTATTGGGCCAAAACCTGGCAGTCTGACATCCCCTGATGGAGTTTGGATTGAGAGAAGGCGCAGGCCAGGCTTAGGGACCCCACCTGTTCACAAATCCGACTGTATTTTTAAAATAATTATTCAAGAGTTGAACACACATTTTCTGGGCTCTTAATAAATACCCTTAAAAATGGGTGAGATTGTTTCTTGGATAACACAAAAAACACAACTTCAAGTACATTTTAGGACATTTTGCCTCATCCTGCTGCCTGGAACAGAGCAGGTGGGGGAGGAGGGAGTAGAACCTGAATTGCTGGCTCTGGCTTTAAATGCTTGGAGGAATGGGGGAGCTTTGGAGAACATATGAAGTGATCTGAGCTCCAAAGAATTGCCTGTGGTTAGCATTGGGGGAAGGGGGATTAGCAAAACTTTGCTTCTGAGTCTCTGCTTCTGACCCATTCTCCTCCTTGTGAAATGTGTCTCCGTCTCCTCACCTCACTCAAGGACAGATCAGAGGTGAAACCATTACTAGAAATCCTGCTTTTGTTTTTCCAATGTGCTGATGCTTTTTGGTCCCAGAATTAAATATGTGCTCCTTAAATGCTCTCATAAATCTGCAGTTGGTGGGAAAGCCAGCCAACCATACAACAGGTAGAGAAATAAAACCACTCTGTACCCAACCTCAAATAATTTTGCATATCATTAAGCAGAACACAGTCGTTGGTTTATTTTAATAATGCATGCGCCATTTCATAAATAAAAAAGCAACATGTGTTCAGCCAAGAGACTGCTCCCACTAAAGAAACAATAAATAAAATTATGAATTATTATTTCTTCTCCTAAAAGTGATCTCTCAGATGAATGCTTGTTTGCTTTTGTTTGTGAAACAATGCATAATTATTAAAATAAAGTTAGCGGTGTGTTCAGTTTAATGATAACAAAAGTATTCGAGTTTCCATATGCTACAAACTAGATTTTCTAGTTAAAATACCTTCCTGAGAACGTATTTATTTAACTACCTTTCACTCTAAGGAAATGAAAGAAAGCTGCTTTTTTCTTGCAGGTTAGAAGACTTGGGAATTGTTTGCTTAATTGAATCATGCCTTCCTGGAAAGGAAATATCCCAAACCAATAGCCGCAAAATATTTAAAGAAAATTTATGATGCATATAACTAATTCAATCATCACCATGGGGTTAAAGATAATAAACTACTCTGTCCTAGATGTGGAAATCCTTATATATGAAGGAACCAAAATAATATTTTCTTTAAAATCACTACCACAACTAGCAATAATAATAGTAATGTCTTATCACTTCATATATTGGCCAGGAAATTAAAATTATACCTGGTATAAATATTAAAACTGTATGAACTTAAATCTCTTTTTCTCACCTCCTAACCATTCCTAAATAATCGCCTGTTTGTTGTTTTTGTTTTGTTTTGTTTGCTATCTTTACTTTATCCTCTTCTCCTTTGGGCCATTTTTAGGATGCTAGCTCTGGTGATAAGTGAATGCAGAGGGAAAACTAGGCATTGTTGCCAATACTACAGATGTGACTATAGCCATGCAAAGTTATGGTGGACTTCCCTGGTTCCTGGCAGCAAACACTCTTGGAAACAATGCTGAAACTGACAGCCAGTACCCACTGCTCACCCAGCCAAGCCAGAGTCCCAACCCTTTCCCTACCTACTCACCTACCCTAAGCTTCTCTCCATCCCACCTATATTGACCCCCCTCCCGGTCTCTTCCTTCATTTCAGGAGTATGTTAGAGATACTCCATTCCCTTCCTTACCCCTCCATCCCAATTTTACCCTGCTACTGGCATAACAACCCATAGCCCAGCCATGTCACAAGAACTATGAAAAAACAATGGATCATTTTTCATTTTCTGCTATTGGAATAGAAAAGAACACAGCATAGAACTGAGAGCAAAAGTGCCCCGTTAGCTCCTCCACAAGTAGGAAGAGAAGGTAATTTGGTATTAATCTGGTTGGTGAGTTGCTGGAACTTTCTTGTCATTCCAGGAGTCACAGGTGTACCTCTCTCCTAGAGCATCTGTGGAAGGCAGCCTGGCACAATGAAAATATTACCAGGCAGATTTCAATTCAGTCCTGACCCCAGTACTTACTAGCTAGGTGTCCTTGAGCAAGTTACTTAACCTCTAAGAAAAATACTAATACCAACTCTGCAGGACTGTTTGGAGAAATAGAGAAAAGGTAGGTATGTGTAACTCAGTGAATGGTAACTATCATGTTACCAGTGAAGATCTACATGACTATCTCCCTTTGTATCTCCCTTCTTGGACAGTGGTTTTATACCCATCCTGGTAACCCCAGTACTCAGTACTCAGAATAGGACCAGCCCTACAGTGTTTGTGGAATAAGGGAATAAAACACCAATCAAATCTCTCAAAACCAGTTTATCTACTCTTATTCATAAAATATCAGCTCTCTTTCTTGCTATATATCTGAATTTTTTAAAGACCCTGGTGTTCACTTCCTATCACATCATACAAGAAACCTCTACACAATGGTAGCCTTGACTGGTAATCTCTTCACCATGTAATTCATTAGCTATTGCCATGACATTCTGAAAATATCCTGGGAAGCCACATGATGAAACTTTAAATTCTGTAACTTGGCTTTTTTAAAGTACCATGGTTAGCACTTTTATTTAAAGCCAAAGATTATATACCTGCAGAGGAAACTTAATCTTAGTTTCAATGTGCTCTCACCTGGACAACTGAACTCTGAGCCAAAAGGAAAATACAACTGACTTGTGAAAATAAGGCAATTAAAATGGTAATAATTATAACATAATTAAAACTAAATTGATTCTGAATTATTGAGTATATGCTACCCAACACTCTGCTCTTCCCCTAAGCTTGTGATTTTGGCAGGTCACCCCAAATCTTTCACAGCCTAATCAGTCACCAACCATTGACTGAGCACCTTCTTGTGTCAGCACAGAGCCTAGCATTTCTGAGCACAATGGTGCTCAACCCCTGAACATTTCCATCACATTTTGCCTACGCAGTCATTTAGATTCAGGGGGAAACAGAGAGACAGAGTCAGTTCTTTTCAGGAAGAAAAAGTTAATGAGCAGAAGGCCAATTATTTTAGATTAGGAAGTTCTATGAAATGAAGCAGAAAAAAGATGCCATTTGCAGCATAAAGCAAATGTAAAGTGCACTTTATTGAACCCTCACTGCATGTCCTGGTTCTAAGACCAAGCTGACCATGGGGATAGCTAACCCACAGCTGCAAGGGAGGGGCCAAGAGGGCACAGAATGACTTCAGAGCTGAGACTTGCATGCATGCTCTTTTGTTCAGTGCAGCTCTGCAGTCCTAACAGCGGAGAGGCCAGATTTTAGAGTCCCATAATAGCGAGGAACTTTAATTAAAGTCTCCACAGGCTCACAACTTGGTGGAGCCTGGGGATTTTTCAATTCTGCATTATCAACCAATCCAAACAGAAAGAGAGCAAGTGAAAGAAATTGATTTAAAAGCATGACAAAAAGTCGGTTTAATATAAACATCATAAATATAATATGAACAAAGCTGAAGGAGGGCCAAGTGGCTTGGCTTGGATCCAGGTTCAGCCAAAGTTGTAGGAAAGTGAGAGGAAATCTGGGTCCAATTTGCTTGAACAACACAGCTGGGCTGGGATGGCTGACAAAAAGTCTAAGTGTGAGGACCTAGGGGAAAGTTCTGGGAGAAAATATTCTAACAAAAATAATCCAACAGACTCACTTGTTTCCTCCTTAGATACTAGGCAGTGTTCTTTCCCCCGCAATCACTGCCCTTGAGTTATTGATGCCTGACACTGTCGGTCCTGAGAGGACCAGGAAGGGAAGGGCCTTGCAGTTCAGCCTCAGCTCTGTCACTACCTATGTGGCCTCAGGAAAAGCAGCGTCCTCACCATCTAAGCCCCCTCCTCTGAGAAAGGATGGGCCTGGGCTAAGTGGCCTTGAATGCTCATTGCTACTCCTAAATGTCCTCAATCTAAGGGGTGCATAGGAGACTGTGCCAGAAAAATCTATCCCTTTGGGAAAATTTGCTGAGGTTAAAAAAAGAAAGAGAAGAAAAAGGAAGAAAGACTTGCTCAGGTATTATCAGGGAGTATCAGTGCTTCAACTCTTGCTCTCAAGGAGCCCTTGGTGGCCTAGCACAACGAGCTCTCATTTACAATGCACGTTGACATCACTGCTCCCAGACCCAACTGAGCCTCACTTTGTTACAGAGGCCAGAACATGGCCTTTGTCCTAAACCTCCTCTGTATGTCAGACTGCCACAGATTCCCAACAGCAGAAGGAGCAGGACCAAGAGGCTTAAAACCATGGCAGCATCTAATTAAAGCCTTAAAGAAGCCAGCCACACTGTCAAGGACCTGGAAACTCTGGGCCTAAGAGGAAACAGGCTTGACAATAGGAATTAATGAAAATAGCAAAAGCTGACCGTTTGATGCAAAGATCCAGTCCTCATTCAGACGGAGATGCTCGAGGCTGTAGCCATTGTTTCCCTGTGACAAGGTGCCTCTACAGGACAGGGCTGACTGCCGCAGCACAGGCTGGCTTTGGTTCACCCGGAGGGATGTGCTGACGCTCACAAGGATGGCACTGCCTTTGTTCGCAGCAAGGTTTTCATTTCGATGATCCTCATTAGTAATAATAACACCCGCCAGTGTTTAAGTGCCGATCACAGAGCTCTGAGCCCCTCAAGCGTTGTTTCATTAACCCTCACAGCAACCCTGCAAAGCAGGCACTACTATTCTCCCATCTTATAGTGAGGAGATTAAGGATCTTTTCACTGTGGTCACATAGCTGGGAAGTTTAGGTCTTTGGAGACCCAAAACCATGCTCCTGCCCCCTACACTCCACTGCTTCCATTCACACTCACGGGGTACTTTCGGAGCACCCATCTCTATGCTATACTTGATCCCAAGTGTGATTCATTAGAGAGATGCCACCTCTGCCCTCCAGGAACTCAGTCCAGGATGAACAACAGGAGACACCCACAAGTATAGGACTTGTGGGGCCACTGGTTAAATCCTCACTGAATCACAAGAGACACTATACAGCAGGTGCTCAACATGCACTTAAGAGCACAGAGAGCCCTCGCCAGATGGCTCGGGTGGTTGGAGAGTCATTCTGTGCACTGAGAGGTCTGAGTTTGATTCCCCATCAGGACACATACCCAGGTTGCAGGTTTGATCCAGCAACTGATGAATGTTGTTCCCTCTCCCTCTCCCTTCCTCTCACTCTAGATTCAACTCATAACCCCAGCTCATCAGCTAAAGGAGCTAATCAGCCCTTACAACCCAAAGAGCAAGGAGGCCATGCAGATTCCAGGCCCCCTGATAGCAACTCTGTCACCTAGGGATGTTTGTCCTATTAGTAAATGCAGAGGGGATATATGTAACATGTGGACTTTGCTTTAAATCAACTCGTTGTTTGTGTTTTTCCTCTGTGAGCTCCAGAGTGTGATAGTTTGTAAAGCTACTAGGGAAGGAGATCTAAGACATGGAAGGGTAAACTCAGGACGGCAAATGCCCATCCTTGCTTAGGGTTACAATTTGAATCCTTTCCCCACCTCATTCTAGGCTCCTGGGGGCCTGGCTCAAGGGGTAGAAATGTGACATGCTTACCTGGAGCAGGAGGAGGGGGGGCGACAGGGATGTGTACATCTTTAGAGTCTTCACATTCCTTCAGCTTGTTCTTCAGCACCGCGATTTCCCGGCGAATGCTAAGGACATTGTTTTTGTCCAGTGTCTCCAGCTTCTCTACCAGGAGAGTCATATTCCTTATCTAAGAAAATAAAAATTCAGAGCGACTTTATATTATTGTGCAATTTCTTTCATAAACATTCCGAGGCTGAATTTGTCATTTAGTGAAGCATCGCTAGAGAATACACCCGAGATTCTCCTGAATGGTTTCATTTGGAAGAATACACTTTATGGTTTTGTGTGAATGCCTGTCAGATCTCAGGCAGATGTGTGTGACAAGGAGAAAATGGCAACGATTTTAACAGCTTCAATAATAGAGCACAGGCTCAGTCTAAGCACCCACAAATGTCCATTATTGTTCATTTCTAATAACCTCCTCCTATAAATTTGTGTTTACTTCTGTTGTATAATAATCAAGTTTTTAATGAGTGGTGAGAGCCACAAAAAAAAAAACACTTAAATTCTAAAATATGTAACTAGAATTCTCAGTTATAGCCTATGTCATGACTGTGCTAGTAAATTCTCATTGATATAAATTACTCAACCATGGTCTTTATCCAGAGAGTTTAAAAGGCTTCACTAAAACATATTCAGAAGAGCCTCCCTTCAAAAGGGTTGCCAGTATGTAGAAATTCCAAGAGGGATCAAGGACTACATGATCACCTAAAAGGAGAAACAGATCTAGTGATCCAAAATCAGGTAAATTGTGGCTTCTAGTCCCATGAGGATAAAACCAGAACAGAGAAGACACTTGGTCTATGTTGTCCATAAAGTTGTTTCATGTCATCTCCTTTCTAGAGACATGTAAATGCCATTGGCTCTGGGGCAGGACCCTGATCATTAGTTGACACCTGCTCCTCAGTTAATATGTCCCCCTTGTGTTTAACTTACCATCTAAGCAGAACACCGGGATATATCACCTGATTCTGAGAGAGTGCAGAATTAGAAGTCGGGAGAAAGAAATCTGTACATCTACCACTGATAACTGAGGACATTTATTACTAATACACTGAGAAGTGAGTTCACCCCTTACCTCTATTGCTAGCTGGTCAACAATTACTGAGCTTCCACCAAAAGTGTCCTTCAGCCGGATGATCAGCTTCTCCATCTCCTTCACTTCTATCTTGATCAGTTCAAAGTCCAATTCAGTGTAAGAAATAGAATCCTTTTCCATGATCTCTACTCGGACAGTGAGGTTTGAGAGTTTCCTTTCATAAATACTGATTAACTGGACATACTCCTTGACCTAAAATGGAATAAAAAAAAAAATCTCAAGTCAGTTATCAGAGTGGGATCATACAGTCTTCCTCTACTACCACACCCTTGGGGGCAATTTGGTTGCTGCTGTTAATCATTAAAGAAATGGATCAAAAATATATCTCACAATATATTTTTTCATCTAGCCAAATCAAAACTATAAAAAAAAAATATTACTACAATTGGGGAGGTGGATTTTGCACTTTTATAGACTAACAATAATTTTGTTTCAGAATCATCATTTGCAAGTATATTTTCATCTTTGAATTAATATTTGAAGATATCAGCTCTCCAAACTAAACTGTTTGAATCAACTCTCCCTTCAAAGCATATGCTCTAAATCAGGGTTTCCTAACCTCAGCACTATTGACTTTTGGGACTACATCTTTCTTGTGTGTTACAGGATGTTTAGCAGCACCCCTAGTCTCTAAATGCCAAAGGCACCCACCCATCACCCAGGTGTGAAAATCAAAAATGTTCCAGAGATTGCTAAGTATTCCCTGGGGGCAAATTCACCTTCACCACCACTACCACCATCTTTCTCCATTTAGAACCACTGCTCTAGAAGAAGAAATGCACTAAGTACAATTCTTTCCTTGGTCACCATATGCAATGAGTTTTGAGCCACTCTGCCTTTTATAAAATGGCATAAAGACTTAACTTACTACATAGAATATGAATGTACATGCACATTTCATTAAGTGTATCCATATTTATTCCAAGAACTTATAATTGCAATCAGACCTTAAAATTACACATTTGTTGCATATGTTTAAATGTCTAATCATTAAAATACTTTCAAAAATTCCCTTGGTATTTTAATGTATAATTGGAATCGCCAAATGGATATTTCAATAAACACAGTTGTTTTTTTTCTGTTTGATCTCTAAAAGAAATGCCATGGTTTGGGGTTTTTTTTTGTTTTGTTTTTTTTTAAGAATCTGCTCATTATAAGTTTCTGGTTTTACATTCTTTTTAAAAATTTGAACGTAAGTGATACTTTTCCCCAAACCATGCTAATGTCAAGTAGCTGATCCACAGTGCCTGGATAAATTCAGGGCCAGCTGTTGGCCTCTAATCCTTGTAATGCTAAAGGCAGCCCTAATTTCTGTCATTTTAGCCCTTCCACTTAACCCCACTGTGCAAATTAGTATAGACTCACAGGCCGCAGACCCAAAGAGCCAGGGCTTCAGGCGGAGAGGATTTTAATGAAAGTTGAAAATGCAGCCGTTGGCACTGCTCATGTATCTCCTCGGGCAACTGATGCTCACGGCCATCAGATGTGCCATCACCCAGAGGATGATCAGGCTGGTGATATTTTGGCAGATAAGGAGGTTAAATATATACACATATATATGTATGAAACCTAATAAGTGAGCCTCCAAAGTGCAAACACAGATATAAGGTAACCAGGTTTCAATTTCTAAAATAAAATAAAATAAATTCTACATAAAACCTTGCCTATAATAAAATAATAATAATAATAAAATAATAAAGTGCCAATCCATTGCAGAAATGAAAGTTTGTGAAATGAGTATTCCTGCTGGCATTTGGCCTTGCCAGCTCTTAGAACAAATGAAACACCCTCTGCTTTCCTGGAACATTTTGGTGGCACGTCGCAGCTGTTGTTCCACAAAAAATGAATGACTCAACTGTCATCTGTGCTGAATAAAATGCAGCTCTCTCTGAAAATCAAGGCATAACTTGGAGTTTGTTTGCTATGAGAATGTGTGGTGTGTCGGCACTTGTTCGGCCGCTAAATGAAAGGTCTCTGGAGATCTGTTTGGGGAAAGTTTAAGTTCTTTCAGCAGAGACTGTGTTCAGGAAAACTGGAATCACCCATGGAGCTCTGGAAGACAGGGCAGAATTTGAAGATGAGCCAGAAAAACTTCACAATCTGAACTTTACTAGTCCAAGTGGGTTGTTAGTATAAACCTCTCACACATAAAATTCCTTACTACTGAGATGGCATGGAAAATTCTGAGAATATCCCAGCTCTCTGGAAGCTACAGTCTTAGCTGAGGCAGCCCAACTTGCCCTAGGATGTGCAGAAAAATATGGGTCTAGCCTTCAGGAGATATATCCCTGTGTCAATAGCTCTACCCAAGGCTCCTCCTCATCACTGCAAGTTTGAAGATTCATCTATGCTGGCCTTCAATTCAGAGCGTCCATTCTTATATTTATTGTACACATATTATGTCATTGATGGGTTCTAAGAATCAAAGTTGATTTTTCTTGCACTGTCATGGAGGCAGTAGAGGCTCCTGCTACCTCAGCTGTGCTCACCAGCTATGAGCCCAGCTTCTGGCTGAGTGGCACGCCTCTCTGTGGGAATGCACTGACCACTAGGGGGCAGCTCCTGCATTGAGTGTCTGCCCCCGGTGATCAGTGCATATCAGCAACCAGTTCTGTGGTTTGGTTGATTTGCATATTAGGGTTTTATTAGATACTAGAGGCCCGGTGCATGAAATTAGTGCATGAGGGCACAGGGGGGTTGTCCCTCAGTCCAGCCTGCACTCTCTCCAATCTGGGACATCCCTCTCACAATCCAGGATTGCTGGCTCCCAACTGCTCACCTACCTGCCTTCCTGATTGCCCCTGACTGCTTCTGCCTGCCAGCCTGATCACCCCCTAAGCACTCCCATGCCAGCCCATTTGCCCCCAACTTCTCTCCTCTGCCGACCTGATCAACCCTAACTTTCTCCCCTGCAGAGTTGATTACCTTCAACTTCCCTCCCTTGCAGGCCTAGTCCCTTTCAGCTATCCTCCCTTGCAGGCCTGGTGCCTTCCAACTGCCCTCCCCTGCTGGCCATCTTGTGGTGGCCATATTGTATCCACATAGGGGCAGGGTCTTTGACCACATGGGGGCAGCTATATTGTGTGTTGGACTGGTAGTCAATCTGCATATTACTCTTTTATTAGATAAGATAGAGGCCTGGTGCATGAGTGGGGGCCAGCTGGTTTGCCCTGAAGGGTATCCCAGGTCAGGGTGGGGGTTCCCTTGGGGCATGGGGAGGCCTGAGCAAGGGGCCTGTGGTGGTTTGCAGGCCAGCCACACACCTGGACGACCCAAGCAGAGACCCTGTTATCTGGGATATATTTTCTTTCTACAATTGAAATTTTGTAGCCTAGAGCTGAGCCAAGCTTCCTGCTCACTCAGTGGTGGCAGCCTTTTCTGTTTGGATTTGTTTACCTTTTATAATTGGCTTAGGCTGGCAAGGGCAGGAGGAAAGCTTGGCTTCCTGTGTTGCCAGGGAAACGCCTCCCTCCTGCTCTCTGTGGCTATAGCCATCTTGGTTGGGTTTATTTGCATACTCCCTCTGATTGGCTGGTGGGTGTGGCTTGTGGAGCTGAGTGATGGTTAATTTTAATATTACTCTTTTATTAGGTAGGATGATGATGATATCTTTCAAAATAAAGCAATGAGATTAAATGAGCTTGAATTGACCATCACAACATATGAAGCACCTCAGAGTTACACCCACATGAACTCTAATCTGACCAAATTACTTAATTTCTTTAAGTTTTAGTTTCTTCCTATAAATTGGGGATAAAGGTATCAAGAAGCAAGATTATTGTGAAGACTACAGATAATATGTCTTAAGTGGCTAGAATAATGGATACCCAATAAATTACAGCAATTATTAGAGAAATGGTGCTTTTGTGTTCTTTTTCAATCTGACCTTTTAATTTATTATATTTCACTGCATCAAACATTGCTTAATCAATGTTGCTTGTTTATGAGTTGCCTAAATGTCTTATAGGCTGCCTCAACCTTATCATGAATGAAGAGCTATTAGCAAATGCTTGATATTAAATAACTTGCCCCCAAAGAACATAACGTTCTAGAGAAATAAAATCCTAAGCTGCCTTTTGTGTCGTCCCCTTCCTAAGTATAGTCACAAGAGGACGAATTATAAACAGCAGAAAAGTATAAAATGCTTTCAGCATCTTAGACAGAGACATAAGTCTTCTCTGTGTACTGGCAGATAATGAATCAATGTAAGGCAGTGAAAACCCTTTTCTACTGGTCTGCCCAAATGGGCATTCCCCCAGGCCTCTAGATAAACGGTGATTTCCAAGGCAACCTAGGGACAGCTATAATAATTCACCTGGAAACTCAAAAGCTCTCAGCTGAAGAGATAACTTTGGGTTTGAAGGCTTTAGTGACCTACTGCCTCTCTTCTTGGGTCTGCACTGGAGGATGCTAGCAGGAAGGCAGAGAGGAAATAGAACTGGGATTAACCAGCCAGAGAGCAATGACCTTTATTTTTATGTCTCTTTACCTTTATGAACCTGTTTCTCCCTCCCTAAAATGGGAATGAAAACATGGGCCTCTTTGCCTTGAGAGTAAAATAGAAATGGGAGCATTTAGAAAAGCACAAACATAACATTAACATTATTTTTATTATCAACTATCACACCTATCTAATATGCAAATCTCAACAGGCAGGACTATTTCTTTCTTAGGCCTTAATCACAAATATCTTTAGGACAACTTACTGACATTTTCAGAGCTAAAAGTTTCCCCATCTACTCTGAACCCCCTCCCTGCCAATTATTAGCAAGGCAGATGCCACCTGACCCTCTCGCAGAATTGGAATTAAATGCCCGGTATTCACAAACTGGCAGGCTCCATGCTCTCGGAGCAGCATGGGCTTCACACTGCCCTTCACACTCCTGCCAGCAGAAAACATGCAAATCAGGAGCTTGCACTATTTCAAAGCAAATGACTCTTACTGAAGAGATCTTTACCTAGGATTTTCCTCCACTTGTTATGTTTTTATGCATAACTTCTTATCTGTACTTGATTATGCTGGAATAAGGCTATGAATATTAATGGTTGGAATTTATAATTTAGTGCTATGCCTTTTCTGCTGATTAATTCAAGGACATTTTATTTCTTAAAAAGCTAGGTTTCTGGAGTTGTCAAAGACATTTTCCTGGACATTCATTTAAATTTAGAATATTTATCTACCAATTCAGGCTGAAAGCAGGATGCCAGCCTCACCATAATTTCTGTCTTAAAGGATAACTATGCTGGATATTGTGGTAGCTAAACTGAAATGTCTCAGGGAAACTTATTTTGAATCTTGCAGGTAGGCCAGAGCTCCTTGTAAATTAATGGATTTGTAATTAATAATGTATAATGTGATAATAGCCTAGCATGAACTTCACCTGTGCAGAAAATGGGAGCCTTTCTAATTGATTTTTAAATTGGCTAAAAAGGCAGAAAGGGTCAAAACTGGAATGCCAAAAAGTAGAAAGGGTCAAAACTGGAGTCCCATTGCTCCAGCCAGTTCGGAGGAAGGCAGGCCCCGCAGGACACCCTCCTCCACTCGAGGAAAGGGCTAATCAGGGGTGGAGTCAAGGTCTCTACCCACTGAGTGACCTTTCAGTCTTGATTCAGATTCCCAGGAAGCCTTAAGTTTTGGTCTAATGCTGGACACATCTCATGTCTGTTCCCACTGCGACAACAGACGATAACCACCAAAAGGGGGAGAGAGAAAAAAAAAAAAAGTAAATTGAAAAGAGGAAATAAGAAAATAAATAAAAAGCTTAAGAAAGGAAGGAGTATAAGAGACAGAAGATTTGGGGGAGTGGAGGAGGAGAGGAAGAGGAAGAGAAAGAGAGGGGGCCTTCCAAAAAGTAAGAGAAAACCAAAAAGAGTTTAAATTAAAAAAAAAAAAAAGAGGAAAGGGAAAGAACAATGATGAGGAATGGACAAAGGGAAAGGGCTGAGGCAGAGAGAAAAATTTATAAAAATAAAGGGGGGGGGTAAAGGAATAGGAATAAAAAGTGAAAGAAAAGGAAGATAAAAACAAAACATGAAAAGGATAGAAGAGAGGAAAGAAAAGAAAGCAAAGCTGGAGGGAAGACCAAGAAGAAGACCAAAAGGAATTAAAAGCAATGGAACAAAAACAATTGTGGACTTGGGGTTTGCAGGGAGAGCCAGGCCTCTTTCCAGCTGCATGAGGACTGCAATACCGCTGTGAGTGTACCCATGGAGTGAAGAAGCTCCAGCCCATGTCTCCCCGTGCCCCTTTCCTCCTCCTGTAAAGAACTCCACAGGTGAGTTGCAAATAAACGCTAAAGCCTCCAGAGGAGGCAAACATGCTCTCTGTGATGCTGTGAAGAACAACTGCTTAGAAAGTCCTAAATAAAAGTGTTCTGTGGACTAACAACAAAAGCAAACGCAAAGATACAGACAACAGAATGGTGGTTCCAGAAGAGAAAGGGGGTGGGGGGTGGGGGGGGGGGGTAAAGTTGGTAAAGGGGGTCAAATATATGGCAATGGAAGGAAACTAGACTTCAGGTAGTGAGCATGCCATAGAGTGCACACATGTTGAATTATAATGTACACCTGAAAATTACCTAAGGGTGTAAACCAATGTTATCCCAATACATTTAATTTTTAAAGTATTCTGTTTTGGTTGTTTGTTCTTATTAAGATATTGTTGGGAGAGGGGGAAGTGCTTACTTTAGAAAGTTCTCTCTCGAACCTCTGGGAGAGGATGCGTGCTGTGACTTCCAGGTGTTCCATTCTGTCCACGGGAAATGTGGTGTCTGGCAGGGCGACCGAGCACACGCAGGTCCCGCGATCATCCTTGGAGCCGGTGAAATTGGAAAACTATAAACAAAAATAAGTTCGACATCAGTAATAAGCTGAGAAATGAGCTTTTTGGCAACTGGAGTGACAGAAATTGGCTTGTCAAAAGACTGCTTAGAGGCAAGCAAGTGAAGTCCAGTACATAAATGAATAGGATCATAGAAACAAGCTAAAACTGCCATGAGTCATGGGCAGTAACTACTCTTAGCATTTTCGCCACATTCCCACCTGTTGGGCTAAAGCACTGTGTTAGCCACCTTTATCTAAAAGAAGATTCTCCTTTCTGGAAGAGCCTTACAGAAAATTATTACTGCCCTTATGTAAGGAAAGGGAAATAATGAATGAGAGTCCTAAACTTAAATTCAAATTCCACCACTTATCTGACAGGACTGTGTGGGGCAATAGATTCCTTAATGGTCATTGTAAGCCGCCCTACACACGAGAGCAAAGGACCAGAAAAAAAGCTTGCTGGACACCAGGAGTCAGACAAGACAAGGAATGGACACCGTCCTGAAGGCACCTGATCACACATCTGCACTCCATCCGCATTCCAAACCACCACCCCGCATTCAGCCCCCAAAACCACTGAGTGCAAAAGTTTCCCCCAATGACTGCATATAAGGATGAAACTCCAGCTCCTGGGCGCTGCCACCAGTACCCAGTGTCCCCCTGGCTCGGTGCTGGGCAGCCCTTCCCTTGAGTATCCCATTCCCTAACCCCTTTCCCTAAATAAAGTCAGTTTTTCTTTAGTCGCCATCTGAGATGGCTATTTAGCCTACCGCACCTGTCACTTTCCTTTTTAAGTCTCAGTTTCCTCTTCTGTCAAATAGAGATAACCTACTTCCCAGGTTGTCCTGCAAATTAACTGCGTGTGTAAACCAAGTCCCGGGCACACAATAGGTGACCAGTACATGTTACTTTCCTTTTCCTTCTACTAACTCATTTTCTTTTCCTCACCTTCACCCAAACCCCAACCCAACCCTTCCCCCTGCCCCCCATAGGAATGAGAAAAACATCAAGGATATGGGTTACAGTGAAAATATACAATGCAAATTCATATCCTCTCTTCACCTGGGAAATGGTATAATTAACATCCTTTAAAGTGAAAAGAAACCAGCCATTTGTTAAAAACTGAACAATGTATGAGTTTGAGGGTCTTGTGCAAATTTTTTTAAGTTTTCCAGCTTACCACTTTCAGAAAAGCCATTTTAAAATATTTGATGTTTCTTTAAAATATTCAGGCTCACACTCCGTTGCCACTGCATATTTTAAAATGACAGGTTTGAAAGATGTGGTTTTCCTTTTGTCCCCTTTGAACTTCCCCAATGGGATCCTGCCACAATTATCATTTTTTTTATAGCTGCTACTGCTTCACCAAGTAACTCTTGGCAGCCACCTGGCTGTGCCTTCCAGTGATCTCATCTGCCGGCCGCCCACAGCTCACCTGTGGACCTCAACCCAAAGTATCTGCTTCTAAAACTATCAAGAGGAGAGCAATGGTTGCAGAGTGTGAAATATACCCAGGCTACTCCTCACAAAGTTTAGGAGGTCAGCTGGCTGCAGCTAAGGTTGTGAGTTCTGTGCATTTAATGCCCACCAACCCCCATGATTCCTAAGCAAGCTGGACCTAGATGCTTCTGTAATCAAAAGTTATTCCATCAGTGATCTCTGTCTTTTGCAAATATATATATATATATATATATATATATATATATATATATATATATCCCAAACTCCTTATGCCAAGTAAATTCCTGATAATTCCTCAATTTATTTTTCCCAATCACACCCACACTTATAAAAACTGAAGAATAAGGAGGAAGGATGAGCAAGTTTATGCTGAACACCAGCGCTCTGAGGCAGGGAATTGAAGGGTCTTTGCCAGGATGAATAAGGACTGGACAGGCCTCTGGGAGCCTGTCACAGAGGCCAGCTTCCCTGGGAACCAGCTTTGTAATTCCCTCTGAAATAGAAAGACTCCAGCTCAAGCATGCCAAGCCTTTTACAGAAGGACCAATATATCATGGGTTTTTGAAGAAATAGCTTATTATAATAACCGTGCCAATAAAAAAAAAAAGTCTTACTTTGCATTTTGACAAGGGAAGGTTAATTAGCGGCACAAGGCTGGGTTGGACCATTTTTCGAGTTCTGTGAAAAGCTCTGTCAACCCAAAAAACACTGCAGGTCATCAAGCAGTCTCAAACAATCAACCAGAAACCACGAGCTAACAACTTTTCATCCTGAAGTTCACCTGAAAGGCAGGCAAATAATTATGAGCCCTGCTGACAGTCATTCCACCAGCTTCTATGGAACATCTCTGTCCCAGCGCTGCGGACTCCCCCGCTGCCATCCTGCTTATCATCAGCCCGGCGTGCTCAGCTGACATCAAAATGGCCCATAAGTTTGATCAGTGACTCCCATTAGAGATATTTTTGCTCCTCGCATTCAGAGACAATGAAGCTAATGGTGATGGGTCTCTCTGTGGTGAATGCTTAAACTCTCTGTGTGTGTGTAATATGGAGAATGGGAGACAAAGGCAAGTGCTTGTCCCTTTAGTTATTGGGAAGGTCTGTGATTCCCCTTGTGGAGGGCAAATAGGACCCTGACACCTTATACTGGTGGCCCTAACTCAGCATGTGTTCGATTCCCATTTACTGGTGTCTACATGGTGCCAGGCTCTGTGTTAGAGGGAGAGACAAGGGAATCAGGCTCATTTTCATGGTGAAAGCCTCCTTTTTTTCAACAACCTCTTATCCTGATGACAAAAGTACACGACTCATTCCCGTTCCGACGCTGCCAGTTACTGTGTGGAGCAAAGCACGGAGCTTTTTCTCATCTGTGGAATGAGGACCCTGATGGCGGCCCCTTCATTGCAGGGCGGCACCGGAGGCATGTGGAGTGCTCTGAGCACTACAGCGGAAGGTGCGCCTCACATTTGTGATTTGAGGATGCAATTGGCTCTAATTAGCAGCCAAGTCTAAGTGCCTGTGAAGATTCAAGGCATAAAATAATGGCACTCCACATTTTCAAAGTACAGAAAATGATACATTTGGAATTTGCTCAATGACAGTTGTGAAGGGGTTTTCCACCATTTTCCAAAGAGCTCATCAAGCTGACAGCCGGCCCTAGAACACTGGGTTTACCGTGGGAGTAACACCTTGCTGTCCGCTGTAAAAAAGAAGTTGGCTCTGTAATACTGACTTACCAGAGGAAGAAAAGCAAACCAGGAAAGAAATTAAAACCTCTAACCACAATTTAACTACCATTTCTTATCTACCTGTATTTTTAAACATCCATCTCCTTATCAGATAATAGGCATTTCAGATTTCTCTGTTTCTTGACCCACATTTTATCTATTTTCTCTTATTTTGGCTAATTACCTTACTCACATGTTGATTTCTGATTGGTGGTGAAGTTTTCAAATAAATTGTTATTGTTGTCTCGTTTAAAAAATGTTAAGTTATAATTATCTCCATGAAAATCATTTAATTAAATGAAATAAAATGATGCATCTGGTTTCTGGCTACAAAGAGTATTTGTGCATAATCTGGATTACTAGGACACTCACCTCTTAAAAATAAGCAGTTTTCATCTATCTGCCTTGAAAATATAGAAAGCTGCATAGAGAGAGATGGTGAGGAGCATGGGCAGACAGTTTGAGCTACAGAACTTGATTGCTTAGTGACCTTAGCCAATGACTTCACCTCTGTAAGGCTTGTTTTCACATCCCTACAATGGGAACATTGATTTTATATACCTCTTAGGGTTAAATAAGATAATATATAATATGCACTTAACATAGTCTTGGGATTTTTTAGGCACCCAATGAACACCATTGTTGCCATTTCTATCTGGGTCCTATTCTAACAATTTTTTTATTCAATAAATCTGTATTGCCTATATTAGCCCTGGCAGTAAAACAAAAACAACAAGCAAAAGTCTTTTCCTCCCCTTTTCCCATTGGCCCTTCCATTCAGACATGATCGCATAGGACCTGACCTGTGAGTAAAGACCGCAGAAATGCAGAAACGGCACCCCAATTCACACCGGAGCATGGAAAGCCTAGGTTTGGCAAGGCAAAGCTCCTACCAAGAGGCTCAGGGCTGATGTGGGCAGAAAAGTGAGGAACTGCTTCTTGCCCTCTCATCTCTCACCCCACCTGGCCTCTTTCTACTTCTTTAAAGAAGGTCCATAGGCCTCGTTCCCCAAAGAACTGGGCTCACTATGCGTTCTGTGATGTAGCCTCCAGCTGGACCGGTTTCTAGTGCATGGTTTGCTTTGTTGCTACTTCTGTTATTTTCAACTAAAAATGGCTCTAGAAATTCCCTGTAAGGAAGATTAAAAGAGAACTGTTACTCCTCTGGGAAAATATCGATGCGTAATAAGACTTTCCTAGAGGCCAGCGTCTCCTCCCCCGACTTCTGTTGCCCATCTCCTTTACAAACCAGGCTCAGAGAGACCATCGGGGCTCCATGAGAGAGCACCGTGGCTCGCTCTCCCTCCAGGGGTCTCCTTCACCGTCCGCAGGGGCCCGGCTGGGCAGGACATTAATCGGACAAGCTTCTCTGGAGCCAGCACAGGCGGGGCCCTTTCCCTGGCAGTTCTCACAGAGGAGAGAACCTGGGCATCTCTTTTGCGTTTGGAGCGCCCCTCCCATCCCTCCTCGCGCTCTAAAGTGCAGCCAGGTCAGAGACCCTCTTTAAAGCTTAGATTGTTTAGCAGGTGTCGCCTGCTGGAGAAGCCAGGTGTCATCTCTCTCACTAACAATTTAATTATTTCACCCGGGTTTTAATTCATTTCCATGGCGCCCAACAGTTAACAAAGGAAGTCGTAAATCTTTGAGAGTGCTCAGGTCTAGCCATGCATGAAATTATACACAGGTCCCCAAAAAGCGAGAGGAAGGGAATGAATGCAGCTTTCAGACTCTGGAGCCTGCTCACCTGGGACCCAGAGCCAGAGCGAGAGCCTCCGCCTCCGCCTCTGCCTCCGCCTGAGCTGAAGCCTCCGCTCTGCCTGGAGCTGGAGGCACCGGCACCGAAGCTGATGGTGGAGCCAGTGTCAGTGACCGGCAAGGGGGTGGGGGTGGGACTAGTGGTCACCAAAGCCTCTGCAGCTGGGCCGAGGAGGAACAGAAGTGCTCCTAGGAAGGGTAGGCAGGGCTTCATCTTGTGCTGTTGGCTGGAGCAGCTGGCTTCTGCACGGAGTCCAGGGCCTTCTTATAGTGCCCCGTGGGGACTTCCCCAGGGCCAGCCTGTGGGGAAAGAGGAAGCCACCAGGCAGCACGTGACAGCCCTGGGAGGGTCAGGACACCCTGGAACCTGAGTCGCCTCCATACCTTGTCTCTGAGCCCAGCTCTGTCAGCTGTGCCCCTTGATCTGGGTATCTCCTTCCAAATATTAATTCAAATGTGCTTTTTCAAGCCTCGTATCTCATTTCCAACATGCTACTTCCTTGAAAGAGGCAGTATCAAAGTAATCTTTGTGGATAAGACAAAGCTGGAAGGTTCCAGGAAGGAAAGGCAACCCTCAGTCCTCGACCCAGAAGCCACGTTAGGGGCCCCGTTTCCTGAATGCTGCTCTCCAGAGACAGGCGGGGAACTCGGGTGAGAAACTGTGACTCTCCCCGGGGGTGTGATTCCCTCTTCAGCTGCTACTGCCTGGGTTCTCTGACCTCTCCTTTGCAGTGTTCGCTTCTAGACCAAGTTCTCTCAGCAACCCACACTGAGGGAGGGACCAGCAATGTTCTGCTCCTGGGAGGTTCAGTTGAGGCTCTGCACATGAAGCCCTCACCAGTGTGGCTCCATACAGGAGAATGAACCCCAAAAGGAGGCCGCCCCAAAGCCAGCAGTTACTCTCTCCAGAGCACTCTGCCTGAGCTCCGTTGTCCCAGGCCCTCCTGTGAGCTGGCCTGGTGGTCAAGTGCTCAGTGCTTATTCATCATGAAACAGAGGGACAGGAATGGTCTTTAGGCTCCATTTGTACCTCTCCAACATTCCACACATCTCTGTGTCCTCTGCCTTCCTCCCTGCAGAGAAGGGTGTTGGCTGGAATATTAAAAACTAGCTCCGTCACTCAGTGGCCTTTGCGAGTCCTTTAGCCCCTTTAGTGTTGCAACAATTTTAAATGGTTAGAATTAAATAAAATGGTATAATGGGGAGTTGCTCAGAAGCTTTGAAGTGTGATGCAAATGTCAGATTTTTGTGCCCCTTTGTTGTTGTTTTGTTTTTAATTCTCTAAAGCCTGGTTTGGTATGTGAGGTTATTGGGTTCAAAAAAGAGAAAGAAGGTCGCTGCCCACTTCATCTTCGCCCCCCAGGAGTATTTGGAAGACCTGGTTTGAAGGATTCTTTCCACTCATGGGCTCTACAAGCTCTCACAATAAACACTGCTAATGTGAAAAACAGTCTTAAATCCTTGGTAAGCTATTCAGATACAGAGGGAAGGGAACAAGCAGGAAAATAAGAATGAATGAAACCGTGAGAAAAGAGATAGAGAGGAAAGGGGTGGGAAGATAGACAAGAATCTCTTTTGAGTGTATTCCACGTGCATTTGGGCTGCATTCCTCTTTATGTGCCCCACCCACCCACCTAAATCATTTCCTTAACCTTTTTTCTTTTTTCTTTTTCTTTTTTTTATATATATTTTATTGATTTTTTTACAGAAAGGAAGGGAGAGGGGGAGAGAGTTAGAAACATCAATAAGAGAGAAACATAGATCAGCTGCATCCTGCACATCTCCTACTGGGGATGTGCCTACAACCAAGGTACATGCTCTCGACCAGAACCCTTCAGTCCGCAGGCTGACGCTCTGTCCACTGAGCCAAACCGATTAGGACAATTCTCCCCAACTTTAAGGTCCACAATTTCCCAACCATCGAAGCTGTTATTGTTGCCTCCACATTAAAACATACCTCCAAACCCCACAAAATATCTTCTCATACCAATCTTACACCCATTTTCAGCTGGGTGTGGTCATTAGAGGTGGTAAGAGTAAACCCAAGAAAGACAGGAGCACTCTCCCAGAAGCTTTCTGGAAACAATAGGGTCTGCCTACATGTCTGCTCCAAAGTTAATCTGTGGTGAAGACTGAGGTCAATCAAGGACAGGTAATCCATGGCCAGCTCTTATAAGGTAGGAGGAGTATTTTGAAGCCCATCTCTCATATTCTACCCTAAGTAGGGTATCAGATTTAGCAAATAAAAATACAGGACAACCAGTCCAATTTGAATTTCAGATAAATTACAAATCATCTTTTTAGTATATGTTCCATGCAATATTTGTAATATATTTGCTATACTTGGGCAGGCCTCCTGGGACAGAATGTGAGCCATGAAATGCACTGTTCCCTATGGGAACAGATTCAGCCTTGGGCTCTTTGGTTAAACGTTCTAGCCACTTAGACAGCCAGTCCAAGACAAGAAAAGCTTGTGTGAGAATGAAATATGGGTAGACTGCATCTGTCATCCTGCAATTGAATGCTCTGAATATGGATACAGAGAGGAAAGCGCTTCTCTCCCTCCCTTCCTCTTGATTCTCAGCAAAGCAAAGGACAAAATCTCACCTCATCTGTTAGTAGCCTCTGTCTGTGCTATAACGAATTTTCCTTGTCCATTTTTCAAGGAGCATGGCAGTGGCCTTATCAGAAAAAAAAAAAAAATCTCATTAACAATGATAGCCCACAGTTACCTTTAAGAGAACCCTAAAGGGGCTGCATTCCTGCAGGAATGAGGCAGCAGTTCTTCCAAACACAGTGTGCCCTAGCGAAGAAAGAACTAGTCTCCCACCCCTTGCTCATAAGCTTCTTTGTTCCTGTGTGCCTCCATTATTTTCAGAATAAAACTTTAATCTATTTGGTAACCTCAAATACACAAAAGCATTGGTGATGCCTCAGTAATGAGATGATTAATAATAATAGTTTGATCAGTTTCTCTGCAAATACCTTTGTCCTAAGAAACAATAAGCTTCCTGGTTATTTGACAGCCTCAAAGACAGGAGGAAATTATCAGTATAGCAAAACAAACAGTGTATTCTCCACAAAAATTTATTCCCACACTGGGCTCCCTCTAGAGTAAGGAGGTCACTGAAATTCACTTGAGTAACAGTATTTCACTGACAGCTTGAAGGAAAGTTACTGTTTATGCACTTCATTAGGGGAATCCCCTAATGCTGTACTTCTTGAAAAGTTGCAACACAGAGAAGAGATACCCAGATAGATGGAGCCTTCATTTAACTCTGCTGTTATTAGAAACCAATGCCAAACATTCTATGGTACTTTGAGAAGGGAGTGTCTTGAGGTATCTGTTAAGTAAATGGACAATAGAGGCTGTGTTTAGTCTATAGATGACTTAAAGAAGCTGTGTTGGGTGACCCTTTTCATGTCTCTTGAGCCTGTCCCCCAAACCTTTCCAATGACTATTAACAATACCAATAACCATGTGTAAAAATAATTATCAATTAACAACATTCACGTGCCCTGGAAGGAAAAAACATTAGCAAAGTGTTATTGGACTCCATTCTCTGCAAAATATCAGAATCTAGAGTTATACTAGGAAAGAGGAAGAAGAAAGCATAATTTTTACTAATAAAAATATCTAGTCACTCAGGGAAAGCAAACCACTTCAGAGAATATACTAGGAATAAAAACAATGAATTGAATACAAACCAATTACATGAATATTAAAGAATGATTGGACAGACTGAGCTGGCCCAATCTGGGTAGGTTGATGTGAGAATTCTCTAAGTAATGAGCTTCTTGGGGATGGAGATGAAGGCCTTACTGGTTTTGAATCTCCAGCACTTAGCTCAGTGCTTGGCACTTGGTACCCAATAAATATTTGCATGCTGAAGAAATATCCTATCTAATAAAAGAGTAATATGCAAATTGACCATCACTCCAACACACAAGATAGCTGCCCCCATGTGGGCACAAGGTCATCACAAGGTGGCCAGCAGGGGAGGAAATTTGGGAGGGACCAGGCCTGCAAAGGAGGGCAGTTGGGGGAGGTCAAGCCTGCAGGGGGGAAGTAAGGGGTGACTAGGCTGGCAGAGGAGGGAAGTTGGGGGCAATCGGGCCTGCAGGGAAGGGTAGTTAGGGGTGACCAGGCCTTCAGGGGAGAGGCAGTTCAGGTGACCAGGCCTGTGGAAGAGGGCAGTTATGAGCAATCAGGTTGACAGTTAGGCATCACTCAGGCTAGCAGGGGAGTGGTTAGGGGTGATCAGGTTGTCAAGCAGAAGCTGTTAGAGGTAATCAGGAAGGCAGGCAGGCGAGCAGTTGGGAGCCAGCAGTCCTAGATTGTAAGAGGGATGTCCCAGATTGGAGAGGGTGCAAGCTGGGCTGAGGGACACACACCCCCATGCACGAATTTCATACACCAGGCCTCTAGTATTTAATAAATGTATAAATGAATGAATGAGTTGATTAAATAAGAATTGTTAAGAAAATTCTTAAACTAGTTTTGGAGAAAATACTAACATTTTAACTTAGCATTGCATAAAAAAGAGTAAGTTCCAAGCAAGAGAAATTACATGAGTAAAAGCCCTCAAGCAACCTGAATTTTCTCCAGGGTCATGATGATGTCCATGCTCCTGAAATGTCATGTAGCCAACACTAGCAACTCATCCTTGGATCAGAGTTCCTAAGGTTGTCCCTCAGCCTGACCCAACTTCAAATCAACATTCCAATTCTCTAGGCATATTCTATATCCAGAGTTACCTAGACTTGGCCATCGCATTATGGTTTAGCAGATTTAAACCCCAAAACACAGAATTTTCTACCAAATACTTTTGTTCTTAAACCTTCAGCAAAATCATCAACACTGTCAAGATGCAGAACCAAGCTAGTGAAGAGCACAAAAACAGTGAAAAGTTCTGAACAAATGCTGAAAAAACAAAGACAAAAAAGTGTTGAATGGTAACATACTGTTTTTTTTAGGATAAAATTTGGACTAATGAAACACAGAGGGCTCAGAAGTATTTCCTTTATGGATTTCACTGTGGCTGGAGAGACTGCCACTACCAGAAACAGGGGGACTCAGGAGTTACCAAACTGCAGGCTTATCTTGACCCCACCAGAGAGAGTCTTCCCAGAGACCTAACAACACAGGTTGCCCCTAAATTTCTCTTGCTCTCTCCTGACCACTACATTGAGCCACACCCTCACTGCATCCCCACCACAATACTTGAGTTTTCCACATCTACTGGATGTTGTAAA